AAGCCGCAACCACATAACATACTAAAATAAACCAAGAGTGCTGATACCAATTGTTGTGGAATTCAGGTTAATTTCCACCAATAATAACAAATTCACCTTGAAAACTATTATCTAGGTGACTATTGTGAAAACGATTGTACTAAAAATCACACCAAGGTAGATTCCCAGGAAAGAGGAGGGGTCACAATGGTCCCTCTTAAAACCCACTTTCCTTAGACAGAACTACCAAGACAAGTAATTTTAATAGGACAATAATTAACAACTATACCCGACAATAGCTATTAAATAGACATAAAGAGAACACCAAAATTTAACGAAGTTAGGCCAAAATTATGCCTACCTCCTCGAACACTACTAAAATAATATTTCACTAGTAGAGGAAATATTACAAAGAGAGAAAGAGTACAAATAGCCTTTAATAGTAAAGAAGTCTTATATTTGTGGGATGTTAAATTAAGGAGGAGGATGGCTCTATTTATAATAAAAGAATTTCCCCTCCTCCTTATACAAAACCAATGTGGGATATTTGCCAAAAACCAACACTAATCCTCGCTATACTAACAAGACTAAGTAACTCACTATGACAGGTAATGTTATAGGCCCATCACTTGACAGTCCGAACTCTTCCTCAGACATCTTGAGAAGTTGCTGGAAAATACTGTTCTTGAGACATGTCAAGGGAATCACAAAACGCTCCTTATCCATTGCATAGATAACAAAATGGCCGTAATCAACGACTGATTGTTTATTAGAATGATCAGCATTACCCGCCTTTCGATCAGTACTACTCCGTCTTTCGATGGATGAAGCAATCAAAATTTTACTTCACCTATATATATAAATGCAAGATTGAGGATCTAAAAATGTCCTGTACTTGAAGTTGTTCACTGTTAAGAAATTCAATGCATTGATATAAACCGAGTCACAAGCGTTGCACCTTCACATTAAGAATTTCGTGAAAGAGACATCCTTTATGCATCGAAGTGACAAACTGACGATCATTAGAGCCTGAATTAGCAAGACAATCACATCAAACTCAAATGCATTATTCAATGGTACAGAATTTTGACCTTTCAACTCAAATGCATTATTCAATGGTACAGAATTCCAATTCATCCTGCACCATTTGGTCCTTCAATTCTGGTAAACAAACCAGAAGGTTATCACTGATGGATGCAAAATTTTTGTGCTGACAAATGCAAGCCGTTCATTATGATAAGGATAAAAACTCTATAAGTACAACAAGAAGGCTCTTTGAAAAGTTGTCTCTGCTTTGAATTTTTCAATTTTTGATATTAAAATTTTATGGAGATGCAGGGGATCAAACCCTGTACCGCTTACATGCAAAGCGAGCACTCTACCACTTGAGCTACATCCCCTGCTGCCTTTTCTTTTTTAATTTTTATTTCTTCATCCTTAATCAATCTGGTTCTTCAGTGGCTTCTTTCCGGACCAAAAAAGGTTACTGATTTTTTATTATTTATCAATTGTAGTCACTAATGCTGGAATTTATTATCTAGAGTTTTGCAATAAAGGTTAGATATAGATGTGAGGTTACTGGATTCCTCTGAAATTTTGAGTGTCCTTTAATATTATATATATATATTTTTTGGATAAGCTGATTTCATTATATCCAAAGAGAATGCAGTAAAGTTGCTACAGCAAACCGAGCACCATACAAAAACATAGGAGCTCACTCAAGCATACCCCAAGCTGTACAAAGAGAAAGATTTATCTCATCAGATCTATCTATATGTTTATCTTTGGCCTTAATTCTAACAATCTCTCTAATCGACTCAAAAACAACAACTTCCCTGCTCAGGCTATTACCAAAGATTCTACCATTCCTCTCAATCCAAACAAAGTAAATTAGAGCATTCCAGACAATCTTTAGGATAAAGGTAATAAGAGACTTACCTTTTATTTTCTTAACAGCCCATTGCAATTCAAAATCCCAATCTCCTACAGGTCTGCGCAAGCAACAAGCATCCAAGACCCTTCTCCAAACCGTGCACGAGAAATAGCACCTAAAGAAAAGGTGATCTCTCGTCTTAGTAGCACCACTACAAAAAACACACTTCTCATCAACTACCATGCCAAAATGAGTGAGCCTATCCTTCGTGTTAAGCCTCCCCAAAATGGCCAACCAAACAATGATAACATGTTTTGGAACATGGAAAGGAAACCAAACTAGTTTGTGCCAAGGAATCCCATCTCTCTTAACCCTTATATCCAGCCAAAACTCCCAAGCATTCAAAGTATCCAAACCAGCAGAAGCAAGAAAAAGAGGACAAGCCTCATCACGCAAAGAAAACAACTTCCAAAAACACCAACTCATAGGCCCCTTGGGAACCATATGCCAGAAGTCCTGACACTTCATATGTATTTGTAGTTTGTAAAACTATTCATGAGTAGATGTTACGAAATTAACTCATGCTAGTTATCAAATGAGGCCTACTATATTTCGTGAAGTTAGCATTCCACAAAGAATTATCTATACAAGTTTCTATCATCCCTACTGGGATTGAAAATTGCATAATGTTTTGCATGGTAAATATGTTTAAAATCCACAGACAAGCCACTGTTTTTCAGCATGTCCTTCATGGAAAACAACGAGCAACCATGGCCAGTGGTTGAACTGAGCACTGATTTCTCCAACTCCTTAGGTAATACTCGTTGTACCAACAAGACTATGTAACTCACTATGACAGAATTGCACGGTAATGTTATAGGCCCATCGCTTGGCAATTCGAATTCTTCAGACATTTTGAAAAGTTGCTGGAAAATACTGATCTTGAGATATGCCAAGGGAATCACAAAACGCTCCTTATCCATTGTATAGACAACAAAACGGCCTGTATCAACGACTGATTGTTTATCAGAACGATCAGCATTAGCGGTCTTTCGATCAGTACTTCTCCTTGGTGAAGTAATTCTTTTCCTTCCAATCGCATGCAGCTATCTTCTTCCACTTCCTTGCCATTTTGCTGAGCTTCTTTTTGCTAACCATGCTTGATTTCTGACAAAGAAATAGACGAGGTATCTTTTTCGGTATCTAGAAATGATGTATTTACTTGGAAGGAGGTGAAGAAAACAGCAAAAACAACGAACTTGGGTCCTAGACAAGGTTAAGATCTTGTGCTTTACATTTGGAGAGAGAACCAATGCAAAACATTCACTAAGTTTCTTATCTTCATATGAATGCTAAAAGACAAAGGTACAAGAGGAACCAATGATATTTAAAACAAGAAAGAGCCTTGATTTGTTGTCCCTGTCAAATCAAAATAGTGACAACGAGCTGCATTTTGTTTATCTATTATGAATTTGAAAGATAGAATATGAATATTGCCTTTGCACTTCAAACGAACTGGAAGTTAAAACATTTAACCTGTAATACATAGTCAAACAACTAGATAAATACAATCATGTAATCTTGATTAGTTGATAGCGCAAATCAGTGTAACATATGATCTGTCTGGAATCTTCAGCACCTTCTTCATATGTCATAACAACCGGTTTTCCGTAGGTCTTCTAATTAGGGTATAAGCAACTAAGTAAAAGTACAAAGTATTATCCGTAGTACTGCAAAGTTGTTGAAATGTCTCAAAATAACAGACATGGATGATAATAGACGTCTGTATTGGACATCCATGCTCTTGACATTCTCATTAGCTGAGATAAAGAATATTAGTTTCTAAAGATCACAGTTATCGATGCTCGAAAAAATATTGTGTAAGGTCACAGTATCTCTGGATATCATTTTAGAATAAAAGTTGTTTTTTCAATTGCATCATAGAGAAAATGGAAGTTAACCTCCTCATGTGTTGGCAGTTTTGCTAGACCTGCATGCTCATCAAGGTGACTAGAATCATGTCTGTTACGTTTTAAACTAGGATTGTGTATTTTACGTCAAAGGGACCACAAAACGTCTATCATCAATTGTTTATATTACAAAGCATCCAACTGCTAATGATTCATTAGAATGATTTGAAGATGCAATCTTTTTGTTAGTCCTTACTGAACTAATTCTGTCTTCCCATTGCTGCTATTTTCAGCCACTCTCTTACCATTCTGAAAAGTTTCTTGGTGGTAATTGTATTTTCTTACTCGATGTTTTCCAATGGAAAGTGATTGCTGAGGGAAAGAAGAAAGTCTTATATTTATACAAGAACAAAAAGTCTTTGCTATACTGGCCTTACTTGTACTGTGAATTTCAAAGCTGAAGCTTATAATTTCATTTTCCGGAGGAAACTATATTTGCTACTTTGCAAGAGATCCTTTCGAGGCTAGTTAAGATCAATAAGGGAAATCCAAAGAGTAAAATTTGGAGGATATATAACAAAATCACTCCTATCCTATAAAATATTATGAGTACGGACTGCATGCCTTGATGCTGTAAATGGACAAGTAAGAGGCAAAACCGAATCATTATGCAAACAAGAAACTTGCAGATGAAAAAAAAACAAGGTGTGCTAAGTTTGGAACTTTAGCTAAACGACATCCTTCGAAGAAATTATGTTCACGACCGCTAAGTAGTTGTTGGAGTCCTTGCAAGGTCAACGACAATGAGCTTTATTGCGGTGGAACATTCAATGGAAGAATGTACTTAGATGAAGATACTGAACATCAAAAAGGACATATTTAAATCTAGATTCCATAACCCTTTGTTTTATTAGTAATGGTAGTTAAAAACCAACTTAGTTTTACCTATACATGTTTCTAGAAATGATCTATTTACTTTGGAAAAAGTGGAGAAAACAAGTACAACATTGAACTTTGAGTACAATGTTAAGGCCTTGTGTTTTACATGTAGAGTGATCAGATTATCAATTATGATTTTGAAAGAATATGGACATTTAACAGAGGAAGATATTCCATGGAAGCAGGTGGTTTTGCTTGAAATTCATCCTGTGCACATGTAATTATTGATGCTACATAAATATCATGTAAGGCTGCTGGTGATCTGGGTAGCATTTTATAAGGAAAATGAAGTTGTTTTTGTATAGCAGGATCATTTACATGATTGAGCATATTCACTTAGAATCAGCAAACAAGTTGATTCTTGATCTCCATGTCCTTGACTGAAAAAACTATCCGGCGACGACGAGCAGCGATACGTAGCGATGGAATCGAGCACCGCTCTCTCCATTTCCTTTGCTAATCCTCGTTTCACAAGGGATACAATGTAGTTCATGAGGACTGAATCACATGGCAATGTTATAGGCCCGTCACTCGGCAGTCCAAACTCCTCTTCTGACATCTTGAGCAGTTCTCGAAAAATGCAGTTGCGGAGAAATGCCAAGGGGATGGCAAAGCGTCTCTTGTCCATTGTATAGATTGCAAAGCAACCATTATCGACTACTGATGATTTGTTAGAATGATTTGCAGCAGCCATGTTTTTTTTAGTCCTTGTTAAAGCCATTCTTTTCCTTCCAATGGTTGCTATTTTCTGCCACTTTCTCGTCATCTTGATAAGCTTCTTTGAGGTAATCATGCTTCTTGCTTCCATTCGTGTTTCCGATGAAAATCTTGTGGGGAAAAGGAGGAAAAAAGAGGTTGATTTGTGTATACTTTCTAGGACTAATGTGGAAAGGAATTTAGCCTGCTATTTATACAGGAAGAACCAATTTAACTAAATCACTGGGTGTATATATTGAACCTTGTCTTGTTTTGGATCCAAAGCCAACGGAGAAAACTATGTAAACAAGGAACAATTTTATTTAGGGTAAATTACTTATTTAGTACCTAAATTATCAGTTTTAGTCCGTTTTAGAACTCATGTTCAAAATTTAACGATAAATTTTGAAAATTTTAAAACTTTAGGTATTAAATTTGACCAAAACTGATAATTAAAGTACTAAATGCATAGCTTACACTTTTATTTTTAAACGTATTTATGATTGGAATACACAATTTTTTAACGTAAATCAATAATGAGGGCTTAAATTTTATATTACATAATTTATTTAGTTTCATAATAATCTATCTTTTTAAGTTTGTGGGTTTAGTTTTTAGGATTTTAAATTTTATTGTTTATTAATTAATACTTATGGAATAGTATTTTAGGTATTATGACTTGAAATTAAAATAAATAAGTTATATAAAATACTTTTTACATGATCTGTGTATCAATTGATACTTCATAATATCTGAGGTTTATAGTTTTATAATAATCTTATCAGAGAATAATACATGTTCTATGCCTTTTAATGTGGACATGAATAGTATTTTAAATTTGATTCGGTCAAAATTTGGTAAATGTTCAATTCAAGTTGACTTGATTTGAACTCTAGCTCGACTCTAGACCTTAAAGAGTTGAGTCAAACAAAGTTCAATTCGACTCGATAAGTTTGAGATCAGCTCGTTAATTTTTTATACAGTGATTGCAAGCAACAATGAATTCAGTGAATAGATGTTGATTTTCTTATTTTAAGATTGATTATTTATCGTTGAACTTTATTTTTCAATAATGTTTTTAATAGTTTGACGTATTTGTGAATTGTTATTTTAGTTTTAATATGTTAGTTTTATTGCTTCATGCATTCTTTTGATAATTTTTTCCGTTAATTTATGTTTATATTAAGCTCTATATTGTATTAGTATATTTTATCTATAGTTAAAAAATAAGATAAAATTTCTAGTGAGTTTAACGAGCAACGAGTTGAGCAACAAGATATTTTTGACGAACACAAGTCGAACAAAATTTTAACGAGCAACGAGTCGAGTAACAAAAATTTTTAACGAACAAGAGTCGAGTATTGCCCAACTCGCTCAATAAATATCCCTAATTTTAAGCTTAATGTATATATATATATATATATATTACGTGTTATACTACATTATGACTCTTATATTTGATTTAATTTTAATTGATTAAATTTAAGTTTTGATCAATAAACATAACCTTTCTAATTTAGTTAATGACTAACTTAAGTTAAGAATATTACACACAACACTTTCTCTCATCAAATTAGTAGCTGTGATTAGGGATGGGTATGGGACTCGAATCCAACGGGTTTCGATCCGACCCAATCCGAAAAAATATAATTTTACCATATATATTTAAGAATAATTACAATAATACCCTTTTATATATTATTTTTTTCAATTATATCATTATTTTTATTGAATAAAAATAATATTTTATTATTATTTTGGGTCGGATCAGATCATGTTCGAATTTTATCACAAAATATCAGGTCGATGGAGAGTATATATTTTTCGGGTCGGGTTGGCCGAAACCCGACCCATGCACATCCCTTGTTGTGATACTTGACTTAATCGCTATATGTATATTTATGTAATCAACATAATATAAAAATATGTATATTTATAATCAATATATATTATTTTTAATCATATGTATATTTATATTTTTTTACATTTTTATTTTCAGTTTACATATTTTCATTTCTATAATTATAATTATGATTTTGTGTATTTTTGTGCTCTTTTAATCTATAGATACAATATCCATAATTATAACTACATGAAATAATTGCTGAAAAGGAAATTAATTATCCTTTAATCAAAGTGTTTATTTAATAAGAAAAGTTATTTAAAATATTAATTAAAATCAGTTCTAAAAATTATCAATTAAAATATTATTATTACATTTTTAATCACGTGTTAATAATAGTTATAAAAATAAATAATTACTATTCCGTATGTTATTTTATAAATTATTATAACGTGTCGAATCAAACATATTAATTAATCAATACTTTACTACTAATCATATCTAATGTCTTATCAGAATAGTTACATGGAATAATAGATGACGTGTCAAGCTTTGAATGGAACGATAACTTTTCATCCTAAACCCTAACCCCGCCGATCCACTCCTTGGGCTAGTACATGTACCCTTCCGTCAAAACAGAGCGCCACTTTTCACCGTCTTCTCAAAACTCTGAAACTAAAACATACTCCAACTCGAATCCCGCTCAGTTTCGTCAGGTATCTTTTCCTATTCCTTCTCTAACTCTAGATCTCCAGCTCACTTTTTCGGTTTTTGTTCTTCGTTTGATTGGATGGCATTGAATAGCTTAAATCGTTTCCAATCTTCATTTATGTCTGCTTACTAAGAGAAACAAATCAGATTTGAAGCGCGTTTTTTTTCCTTTTTGCAGCGAGGAAAATGGATCGGTACCAGAAGGTGGAGAAGCCGAAGGCGGAGACACCGATAAACGAGAACGAACTTAGGATTACGGCTCAAGGGAGAATGCGGAATTACATATCTTACGCCATGTCTCTGCTTCAGGTTTTCCTTTTTTTTTAATTAGATATTATCTTTTTTATTAAGCGTTTATTTAGTAGTTTTGAATAAGTGAGTAGCGTGTTTTTGTTGTACAAATATTATGTTGAAGGGCTAAGGTTTCAACTCTCCTTTTGTTTTGTAGGATAAGGCTGCAAACGAGATTGTGCTTAAAGCTACAGGCAGAGCTATAAGCAAGACTGTCATGATTGCTGAACTAATAAAGGTATTAGTTTGATAAAAATAGGTTACTGTTTTCATTTTTCTTAATCTTCTTGTTATGTATTTGTTTATAAAGTTATGTATTATCATAGCAACGTTATTCGTTTTGTTAATAATATTTCTTCTAGTATGTAAGAACATGTCGGTTTTGTTATCTCTCTCCCTTGCATATTGTCCGATTTGTAGTTAGAAGATAGAGGACGATATAAACTTGTGATATGTGATTGTTCTTATCTTTATAATCTCCCTACCCCGTTTTCCTTTGATTTTGTCCTAAAATGTATTAATTGTTCCAGAGGAGGATTGCCGGTCTTCATCAGAACACATCAACCGGATCAATAGACATAACTGACACATGGGAACCACTAGAAGAAGGCCTTCTTCCGTAAGAACGTAGTTTTCCTGTTCTTTCTGGTGGTCCGGGGGATTTCATTTTTCTTGCCATAACTAATATCTTATTTGATTATAATGTTTGATTTGCTTGCACAGCCTAGAAACCACTCGCCATGTTTCGATAATCACCATTACTTTGTCTAAAAAAGTGTTGGATACATCTTCAGTCGGGTATTGGCCACTACTTATCTGTATTTAAATACTCATGATGTTGAATATATTATTGTTCACTGAGGCCCGTTATTTACTATGGTTGTCTTGACACGCTGCCATTTTGGTCTGCAACATGTCATGCTAATAGATATCAACCTCCAATCCCATCTGATCAAGTGAAGGCATCAGCTGCAATTGAGGACACTGAAGGAGGTAAGGCAATAATGTAACAATTATTGATGATTAAGTGATTCTGTTTTATGCCCTAAATAAATTGATACTTGTACTCAATTTCATGCAAATTAGAGGCCTCTGCTGACATACAAGGCAAAGGACATGGTGGTCAAAGGAAATATGGAGGTATAAGCAAACGTCATGGCTCATTCTGTACTAAAATGAAATAACAGTCACTAATGCATTTTTGGAGGAAGAGTTCTTTCTTTTTAATGTTATTTGAGAAGTTAAAATTCATTTAGAGTTTCAGCCATGGCTTTTCCCCCTTTTCAAATTCTTCTTGATACATGAGGACATGGATTAGAATGGTGATGGAATTAAAGGAAACTTGAATTTGATCAGGATGATCTCTAATCATTCAGATAGATTAAGCTTCAATTATATGTTTTTGGTTATAAATGGCGAAGGGGACAGTAAAGCAACTGACTTGACAGCAAGGCTGGTTCTGTGTATGTTGGTTGCATATAATTGCTAGGCTTAGTAGCAGACTGGACAGATATTCAGATCTATGTTTTTTTTCATGGAATGAGATGGCAATAATCCTTGGCATGTTGATTGATTGGAAAAGTTTGTTATCCAGTTTTGTGCTGTGTATCAAATCATATATATTTTTTTTCGTGAATTTATTGAAGCACATGTGAACCAAAAATAACATAAAAGTTTTACTTGTGCAGGCAATATCAATGGAGGCATGGTGGACCACAGGAATGGAGGATTTTATGGTGGGCAACGCTATGGAGGCAGAGGTCGGGGTCGTGGGAGGGGGCGTGGTAGAGGGTATGGTGGTGGAAATATGCAGTGGGATTCGGGATATTATAATGGTAATGGTCCATCAGGACCATTTCATGGACAGGGTCGTGGTAAATCTCTGCCCCATTTGCTTTCCTTGTTCTTTTGTTCTGCCTAATTGTTAGTTTAGTGGTTCGACATATCCAAAAACAAATCAATTTTCCCCCTTCAAACAAATTTAAAACAAGACATTTTCTTAGTTGAGTTATTTTAACAACAAAGCATACATGGGTAAACATACAATGTCTTGCATCATTTTTATTTTTATTAGAAAAATTACATTAACCATTTCGGGTGAAATTACTGGTTGCAGGTGGAGGACGTGGGAGGGGACGAGGACGTGGTCGCGGACCTCGTGATCAAGACTACAGATCTGATGGCCCAGTCCAGAAAGCCGCTTGAGCATCCACAGAGCCATGGTTTTAGATTGAACCAAACCAGTGGGTGGCTGCTGGTCTTTATGCATCATTCAAGGCTTTGATTGCAAAATTGAGTGGTAAGGGACCTTTTATCCG